AAAAAAAAAAAAAAAGCCCGGGCTCGGTGGCTTAGCCTGTAATCCCAGCACTTTGGAAGGCCGAGGCGAGTGGACTGCCTGAACCCGTGGCTTCAAGACCAGCCCAGGCAACTTGGCAAGACCTCATCTCCACAATAAAATAAAAAATAGCTGGGCCTGGTAGCACACATCTGTAGTTCCAGCTACTTGGAAGGCTGAGGCAGAAGGTATCGCGGGAGCCCAGCAGGTCGACACTGGGGTGGCCATGAGTGTGCAGGCCACTGCACTCCAGCCTGGGCGAAGGAGTGAGACTCCAACTTAAAAAAAAATTAGTTGGGTGTGGTGGTGTGCGCCTGTAGTTCTAACTACTTGAAAGGCTGAGGTGAAAGGATTGCCTGAGCCCAGGAGGTGGAAACCGCAGAGAGCTGTGATTGTGTCACTGCACTCTAGCATGGGCGACAGTGAGACTCTGACTCAGAAAAAAACAAAAACAAAAACAAAACAAACGATATGATTAAAAACACATAAAAAATTATTATAGTTGAACTAGCTGAAGAGTCTGTTTCCTGCTTTAAAAAAAAAACCTGACCAGATATAGTGGCTCATGCCTGTAATCCTAGCACTTTGGGATGCCAAGGCAAGAAGATTGCTTGAGCCTTGAGTTCAAGACCAGACCAGGCAACACAGAGAGACCTTGTCTCTCAAAAAAAAAAATTAGCTGGCCATGGTGGTACACACCTGTAGTCCCAGATACTCAGGAGTCTGAGGTAAAAGGATCACCTGAACCCAGGAGGTTGAGGCTGTGGTGAGCCATGATGGTGTCACTGCACTCCAGCGTGGGTAAGAGTGAGACTCCAACTCAAAACAAAACAAACTTTTACCTAGTAGGCCTTTTTTTCTTTTTATCATTTGCTTTTACTGTCTTAACCACCAGTGTGTGCTAGTTTTGGGTCAGAACACCTGGCTTCTATGTCTTATTCAGCCAGTGTGCAACTTCTCAACTAAATGGGGGGAACAAAACACATCTTCTGTATTAAATGTTGGCTACCTCTGGGGAACAACGCTTTCTAGATGTTGCAGAGAAAAGTACAAGAGGATTGGAGGTCACCTGATTAGGGGTAGGGGGAATTATCAGATTTTCTGTTACCAGTGCTGAGAGGGAGGTAGATTCTCTCCTTCGTGGAAAGAGGACCAGGAAGAGGCAGAAGCCAGATGGCAGGTCAGAGTCCCAGGAATCCTAGAGTAGAACTAAGGAGCCTGGACTTCAACAACTGGAGTTGTTCAGAGGAAAAGCTCTATTGTCCGGGCATAATTAATAAAGCACTCCCAAGGCTGGTGCGGTGGCTCACACCTATAATCCCAGCACTTTGGGAGGCCGTGGTGAGAGGACTGCCTGAGCCCATGGGTTTGAGACCAGCCTGGGCAATTTGGCGAGATCTCATCTCTACAATAAATCAAAAACTTAGCCAGGCATGGTGCAACTCAGATATTTGGAAGGCTGAGGCGGAAAGATCGCCTGAGTCCAGCAGGTGGAGGCTGCAGTGGCTGTGAGCATGCCACTGCCCTCCAGCCTGGGCAATAGAGTGAGACTCCAACTCAAAATCATAATAATAATGATAATAATAATAAACCAGCCAGGCTTGGTGGCTCAGCCTGTAATCCCAGCACTTTGTGAGGCCAAGGCAAGTGGTTTGCCTGAGCCCGTAGGTTTAAGACCAGCCAGGGCAACTTGGCCAGACCTCGTCTCTACAATGAATAAAAAATTAGCCAGGCGTGGTCAGCCTACGCCTGTGGTTCCAGCTACTTGGAACTCCAGCCTGGACAACAGAGTGAGACTCCAAAACAAAACAACCACTCCCTGTCACTGTGTCTTGATCTGACAATACACCCTATGTCCATTCCTATGTATGTGCCACCCTTAAAGTGGAGAACACTTGCCTTCCAAGTAGAATTATAGGCACAGCCGGGCTCGGTGGCTCAGCCTGTAATCCTGCGCCTTTGGGAGACTGAGGTGAGTGGATTGCCTGAGCCCATGGGTTCCAGACCCGCCTGGGC